TTGGCAACTTCAGTCACAGAGGCACCAGCTAAGCGGCACCAACAATTTGCCCTCTTTGAAGCTCAGTAAACTCCGACAGGACACCATCTTACTAGCAGAGCACACTGTGAATGAGGGAAGTGAGGTTTCCCAACTGTTAGCTAGGAGTCTCAGTACACATCCCGCTTACAACACAAAACATGTTGTCACTTTCACACCTCAAATCATGGAGTGTTTCCATACTTTTGTGCAACCCCTGTATAAATTTATTGAAGATCAAGGTCAAAACCACCCACTTAAGATCTTACAGCCATCCACCTGAGATCCTACAACCACCCATTTGAGATCCTAAAACCACCCACCTGAGATCCTACAACCAACCACCTGAGATCCTACAACCATGCACCTGAGATCCTATCACCACCCACCTGAGACCCTACAACCATCCACCTGAGATCCTACAACCACCCACCTGAGATCCTACAACCACCCACCCATCCTACAACCAACCCACCTGAGATCTTGAAAACCAACCACCTGAGATCCTACAACCACCCACCTGAGATCCTAACACCACCCACCCACCTGAGACCCTACAACCACCCACCTGAGATCCTACAACCAACCACTTGAGATCCTACAACCACCTAAGATCCTACAACCACCCATCCGGGATCCTCCATCTATAATAAAGCTTCATTGTAAAGAGGACTCCACAATAAGGTCCTATTGTGGGTGGAAAGCATTGCAAAAAGGAGCTCAGGCAAGTGGATGTGACCTTCACTTTCAATACATTTTTATATGGGCAGTCTCAAGGCTTTTGTCAATGGGCTCTCGGGAGCATTTGAAATCAGATGGAGATGCTTACAACTTTTGCCTGAGTTCCTTAACAGGTGCCTTTTGATCTCCTCGCTTTCGCATTTCCATTGACTAAATTGGCAATTCCGATACAAAGACTGCTAAAAGGTTGCTCAAAGCTACAGCCAGCACTTCCATACCAGAGCTGAAGGACAATTTCAAAGAATTCTGTATGGCTTTCCCGTATGAGCATCAATAAAGCTGCTTGTAGCAGGATGATTTTTTTTTTTTTTGTTAGGTGATGGTGCCAGATCAGGGGTGGACTGACCATTTGGAAACTTGGGCACTGCCCGAGAGCCCAGGGTCAGTAGCAGGCCCCATGAGATGCCCCTGATACCTTTTTCATAGGCTTTTTTGAGTTTGGGCAAGGACACAGGGGCCCCATGATCCCCTATTGCCTGGGGGCCCCATGAGTTGTCAGTCCGCCCCTGTGCCAGATTAATTCAGAAGAGGAATGAAGGGGGACTTTACCTTTCACACCAACATTTATTTCCTACAAATGTTATTTCATGTAAGGAGCACAGATGACAGCTCCTGTTTTCTGGATCTAAGAAAGAAAAGGAATACTGCTCAGGTAAAGCAATCAATGTCAAACCCAACCCAGGTGCAGACCATGGATCGCCACTACGGGGTTTGGCCGCACACGGCAGGTTTGATGAAAAAGTGAAAAATATTTATTGATCCATAAAAAGACAAAAATAGCACCAGGACAATGCTACTAACGCGTTTTCACATTGTCACAGGGTCATAGGTTATAGGTTATGACCAAGCACGTGACCATGATGAAACGCGTTAACAGCTAGCATTGTCCTGGTGCTGTTTATGTCTTTTTATGGATCAATAAATATTTTTCACTTTTTCACCAAACCTGCGGTGTGCGGTCAAACCTTTCTTCTTTTCCTCCTCCTGGATCTGAAAGAACAGTGGAGGCTGCAAATAGATAGATAAAATAAGAAGAGATCATTCTGGCCGCACGCTATATGGTGTAAGATGACCGTTTTCTTTTTCAGGTTCTTATCAGTTGAGTACGTGTGTTTGTTGGGCTCACCACTTCCTTTTAGGGTGTACAATCTATAGTGCTTGTGTATGGTGCTGAAGGATGACCGCATACATATACAGTATGTTCCCATAAGTCTGCATGGGGGGCGTGTCATCCATAGGGGAGGGTGGCTGTAATTCACCTCCACTGAATACACAGGTGAGGTACACATTGCAGAGTTCAACTTGTGGCAAAAGAGTTTTTAAAACCCAAGTTTTGGATAAAAAGGACAGTTGTACAAGGTTCATAAAGTTACCTGCTGTCTGTGTCCCCATTACAGGAAATTAGCTGTGCTTCCTGCCCCGGTGACACCAAGACAAGGAGAATAGGAGAGCAAGACGCAGACAGCAATAGCAAAGTTTTTCTCCCCTTCCCCGCTCTCTCAAAAAAAAAAAAAAAAATGTACCTGGAGTTTGGTTTGAAATGAAAAAACACACAAAAAATTGAACCTAAGGCAAGCAGCTGAATAAGGGTCTGAAATACAGGTAACCCTGTTCACAAGTGTTACTAAACCCACAAAAACATTGCGACCAGATTCGAAAAGACATTGGTATTCTAAATAGATTTGACAGAATTCGAAAATTCACTGGTAATCGAAAAGATTTCAACTTCAACGAAAATAAACTAGAAAAATAATGGGGCGCAGGGGGGGGGGGGGGGGGGGTTGGACCAGTCCTTAAAGTGTTACTAAACCCACAACAGTACAATCGGTCTGTAGATGCAGTAAAGCATGCTTGTTATACTCACTGTGGAACCTAAGGGGTTAATCCTCCACATTGTGTAAAAAGGCCATTTGATCCTGATTTCCCTGATCCTCCTCTTGTTCAAATGTCCCCCTTTCATCTCCTGATCAGACACACTGAACTGGAGCCATTCTGCACATGCTCAGTTTAGTGTGCATTGCTAGAGATGTTTTATTTTTTTTCTTCGGAGAGTGCATGTGATCAGCACAGGGCCAATCAGCACTGTCCAGACAGAGGTCAGGGGTTCTGCATCCTCCTAGAGCAAAATGAAAAATCCTCCTACAACCTTTAAGCAGTGCTCAACTGAGACCTGATAGAAGTCACAAGACTGCTATATACTGCTGAGAAAAGGTATTTTAGCAGTTTATACAGTTGCCAAAAAAGTATGTGAACCCCTTGGGATTACGTGGAGTTTTGCATGAATTGGGTATAAAATGGCTCTGAACGTATCTAAGTCACAACAATAGAAAGAACACAGTCTGCTGAACATAATACTACACAAACATTAGATGTTTCAGTGGTTTAAATGCACATAACATGTAAACATTCACAGTGCAGGGAGGAAAAGTATGTGAACCTTTGGACTTAGGTTGACCCTCCTTTTGGCAGCACCTCAACCAAACGTTTCCTGTTGCAGATCAGACCTGCACAACGATCTGGAGTCATTTTGGACCACTCCTCTTCACAAAACTAGTGTAGCAATATTCTTGGGATGTCCGGTGTGAATCGCTCTCTAAGGTCATGCCACAGCATTTCATAGAGTCAGTGACTCTGACTGGGCCACTCCAGAAGGCGTATTCTGTGCTGTTGCAGGCCATTGTTTTGTTGAATTACTTGTATGCTTTGGGTCAATGTCCTGTTGCATCACCCATCCTCTGCGGAGCTTCAGTTGGCGGACAGATGGTCCGTACGTTTTCCTGCAAAATGTCTTGATAAACTCTGGAAATTCATTTTCCCATCAATGACAACAATCCGTCCAGGTCCTGAGGCAGCAAAGCAGCCCCCTCAAACCATGATGCTCCCTCCACCATGTTTCACAGTGGGGATGAGGTTTTGATGTTGGTGTGCTGTGCCTTTTTTTCTCCACACCATAGTGTTGTGTGTTTCTTCCCAAACAACTCAATGCAGGGTCCACAGTATATATTTTGCCAGTAGTGCTGTGAACATCCAGTGCTCTTTTGCATGCTTCAAACGTGCTGCAATAATCTTTTTGGACAGCAATGGCTTCCTCCGTGGTGTCCTCCCATGTACTCCATGAAATGCAGATGGTCAACAAAACTGTTAATGCATGTGCCAGAGATTTCTGTAGGTCTTTAGCTGACACTCTGGGATTCTTCTTTACCTCATGCAGCATTCTGGCTGTGCTCTTGCAGTCATTTTTACAGGACGACCACGCCTAGGGAGAGTAGCAACAGTGCTAAACTTTCTCCATTTGTAGACAGTCTGTCTTACGTGGACAACATGAACATCAAAGTTTTGAGATACTTTTGTAACCCTTTCCAGCTTCGGTCAACAATTGTTGATCGTAGGTCTTCTGAGAGCTCTTTTCTGCGAGGCATGGTTCACATCAGACAGTGCTCTTGAAACCAGTAAACCCAAAACAGGTGTGTGTTTTTTAAGGCAGGGACAGCTGTCAGCAGCACATCCAATATCATCACACTGATTGCAAGGTTGGTCACTCCTGGGCTCCAATTAGCTCTGGAGAAGTTATAAACTAATGCCTCACATACTTTTTCCTCACTGCACTGTGAATGTTTTACATGTTATGTGCAATTAAACCATGGCAACATCTAAGTTTGTGTAGTATTATGTTCGGCAGACTGTGTTCTTCTATTGTTGTGACTTAGAGATGACGTTCAGAGCACATTTTATACCCAATTCATGCAAAACTCCACGTAATCCCAAGGGGTTCACATACTTTTTTCTGTGCAACTGTATTTGCTAAAAACAATTTCCATGTTCTGGATACTGTGGGAGACCAGATATAGTGAATGCAGGGTCCTGGGAGACCAGATATAGTGAATGCAGGGTCCTGGGAGACCAGATATAGTGAATGCGGGGTCCGGGGAGAGCAGATATAGTGAATGCAGGATCCGGAAGAGCAGATATAGTGAATGCGGGGTCCAGAAAAAGGATATAGTGAATGCAGGGTCCGGGGAGAGCGGATATAGTGAATGCAGGGTCCGGGGAGACCGGATATAGTGAATGCGGGGTCCGGGGATCAGGGAGCGGATATAGTGAATGCAGGGTCCGTGGAGACCGGATATAGTTGAATGCGGGGTCCGGGGGAGCGGATATAGTGAATGCAGGGTCCGGGAGACCGGATATAGTGAATGCGGGGTCCGGGGAGGATGACCGGATATATAGTGAATGCGGGGTCCGGGGAGAAACAGATATAGTGAATGCAGGGTCCGGGGGAGCGGATATAGTGAATGCGGGGTCCGGGGAGACCAGATATAGTGAATGCGGGGTCCGGGGGGGAGCGGATATAGTGAATGCAGGGTCCGCGGAGACCGGATATAGTGAATGCGGGGTCCGGGGGGACCGGATATAGTGAATGCGGGGTCCAGGGAGAACAGATATAGTGAATGCAGGGTCCGAGGAGAGCGGATATAGTGAATGCGGGTCCGGGGAGAGCGGATATAGTGAATGCGGGGTCCGGGGAGACCGGATATAGTGAATGCGGGGTCCGGGGAGAGCGGATAATAGTGAATGCAGGGTCCGGGGAGAATGGATATAGTGAATGCAGGATCCGGGAGACCAGATATAGGAATTCAGGGTCCAGAAAAAGGATATAATGAATGCGGGGTCCAGTAATAGTAACACTTTAAGACTTCCTTCTACCAGCAAAGCGGTCCCTGACCTCACCAGCCTCTGTTGCAGTTAACCTCCCTGGCGGTATTCCCGAGTGTAGCTCGGGGTAACATTTCAGTACCAAAAGCGGTAACCCCCGAGCTACACTCGGGAATACCAGCGGCGCTGCTCCGGCATGGTTCTTCACTTACCTTACCCTGCGCTCCCACGATGTGTCCCCTGCAGCGTGTTTTCGGCCAATCTCGTCCTCCCGGCCGATGCCGGCATCCGGCTTCTGCTGCAGTCCTGTCCCTGTGAACGGGACGTACGGGCGCCGCCGGCGGCGGGAAATTTAAAAATTTTAAAAAAATGTCATTATTATTTTTTTTTTTTTCATTTTACACAGTAAAACATTGCTTTTCAAAACCTATTTCACATACATATTGTCCCGAGTCTTTGTCCTGTGCCCTGCCTGCATTTTGTCTGTTCTTTCTGCCTGGAAACTGAGAAATGTCCATGGCGTCCAAAAAGGTCCCTTTAGGTCAAAAGCGGTTTTTAGATCACTAGAGAACAGCGATAGTAAGAATCAGAACCCGTTGCAGAATTGAGTGATAATGATTCGTGGGGGAAATTCGTCATCAGAAACTGAAAACGATTTTGCGACTGAGCTCAATCGGATGGCGAACTTGGCGCTTTATTTCACATTAGTGTTTTTTGGTTTGATTATATTATTGAATTAAATTTTTAATTATTTTATATTATTTTTATGATTATTTATTAAAATTATAATTTATGATTTGTGTTTCAAATTTTATCATCCCCGGATGTTTACTAGTCTCTTGTTCGGACAGACTTCAGGAGTTTTTCCTAAAAATTTACAGCCTGAATAAAAAAAAATACATATTTCCATGCAAAAAAATTTTGCGACAGTCTGATTTCAGCACAAAAATCTGAAATAATCATACCGCCAGGGAGGTTAAAGAATACAGAAGGTCAGGGACCGTGCTATGGTGGAGAGAGACGGAGAAACAACTCTTGGAGAGATGGACACAAGGCTCCTGTATTGGGATTAATAGCACTGAGTAATGTAGAAGAGTCATCCTTCCACAATAAACTTCAATATCAGGGTGGGGAAACTATTGATAAGAAAAAAAAAATGAGGTTTTTTTAGGATTATACCGGGTTAGATGTTTTCAATACGGCTCTTGCTGCAGTTCAGGCATTTAACACGAATCCCCAAAATTAAATTTGATGATAGGAGGAGAACAGTTTTTAAGCTCAGAGAAGCCAATAGTGTTCTCCTATGTGTCCATGCACACTAATTTAGGCTATTCGCATTTTTTCAAGCTTCAGTGTTTAGGAGCATAAAAAAAAAATTATTTCGGAAGAGCTTTTCGGAGCATTTTTTCAGCAGAAAAAAAAAAATAGTTCCTAAATGCTATTAACATGCTCTTAACAGATTTTTTCCCCCTACATCTTCTGTAAAACGCTTATTGTTCCTTAACGCTTCAAAAAACACTACTAAAATAAATAAATAAATAAAGAACTCATTGAAAAGGTGAAACTCTGGGAAAGTTAAGTTAGGAGACATTCGTGTCGAATCACAAAAAGCACAATTTGAGCAGTATTTTCATTAAAAGGAATGTTTTTTTTTTTTGTTAGTTCCTTTAAGTTTTATCACACAGGTCTGCAAGCTCATTGCCCATCAGCTCCTACCGTCTCTTCTACCAAGTTCACAATGATATCCCACTTGTCTTCCCTGAAGATGTTTCAGAGTCCACTTTCACGTCTTCGCTACCCATACCAGCTTCTACTTTGCTTCCCCCTCCCCAGGCTTCAGTTTCTACTTATCTTACCTCATCTACCTCCTCCACTGCCATCAGCTTCTACAATACCACCTCTACCCCTCCCCCATCATCTACTCTGCCTTCTCCACTATCAGCTGATACAATGCTACCTCTACCCCTCCCCTGCCACCATCATCTACTCTGCCTCCTCTACCATCAGCTTCTACAATACCATCTCTACCACCTTCCCCATCATCTACTCTACCTCCTCTACCATCAACTTCTACTACAACCATCTCTACCACCTTCCCCATCATCATCTACTCTACCTCCTCTACCATCAGCTTCTACAATACCATCTCTACCACCTCCCCCCATCATCATCTACTCTGCCATCAACCTCTACAATACCATCTCTACCACCTTCCCCATCATCTACTCTGCCTCCTCTACCATCAACCTCTACAATACCATCTCTACCACCTCCCCCATCACTATCTACTCTGCCACCTCTACCATCAACTTCTACAATACCATCTCTACCACCTTCCCCTACCATCATCATTTGCGATGCCTCCCCTACTACCAACTTCTATTCTGCCTTCTCTACCATCAACCTCTACAATACCATCTCTACAATACCATCTCTACCACCTTCCCCATTATCATCTACTCTGCCATCAACTACAATACAATACCATCCTACCACCTTCCCCCCTACATCTACTCTACCTCCTCTACCATCAACTTCTACAATACCATCTCTACCATCTTCCCCATCATCATCTACTCTGCCTCCTCTACCATCAACTTCTACAATACCATCTCTACCACCTTCCCCTACCATCATCATTTGCTCTGCCTCTGCCCCTTCTACCACCAACTCTACTCTGCCTTTCTCTACCATCAGCTTCTACATTACCACCTCTACCATCAACCTCTACAATACCACCTCTTCCCACTTGCCTGCCATCATCATCTACTCTTCCTCCTCTACCATCAACTTCTACAATACCATCTCTACCATCTCCCCCATCATCATCTACTCTGCCTCCTCTACCATCAACTTCTACAATACCATCTCTACATGCGGTTTACTTCATTTTTCTTCAGAATTTTTTGTAATCTCAAATGTAAACAGCCAGTTTATAGAACCGTCCATGTGTGACCTAACAGAGGCAGTGTGCAGTGTACTACAATGGAAGTCAGCTCAACGTGGAACAGAAGGCCTCAGACAGAAAAGAAAAAGCGCACCAGTATAACAACTTGACTTATTTATTATAAACCTGCAAATTAAACGAGGGTGCAATTCTATTTTTTTTTACCCTTTCTTACAGTTGGCATGGCAGACATTTTGCGGAATCTATTGTTTGCCCCATATGTACAGCACAGGTTCTCCTCATTCAAAAACCTAAACAAAGTATACAAGTAAAAAAAAAAAAATTACAATATCTTGTGTTTAAAACAGGGGCATGACAAAGCTTGAAATTGTCCGAAATGAGTGTTGGTTCTCAATGACCTAATACCCAGAAGAGTTCAGAAATGAATATGATCCAATTAAGACAGCCTTTCATCAGCTTTTACCCTAAAAGGAACAATTTTTAGGTCCTAGGGAACCCCTGCTGAAATACGCTTATGGGAGGTCTTTGGGAAGAATGCTCCTCTTATAATGGAGGTCTCCAGACTTAAAGCCAAAAGATTATTGGTCTCATGCAAAGTGGATTTGGACTCAGGACAAAGCAAGCACCATCAGATGGGAGGTCATTCTGCTACAGCTCAAGGAACCTCAAGCAACCTCTGGAGGAACCTGACCCTAGGGTTCCCCTGAAAATGGCTGTCTTAAGAGTTGGTGGTGATACCTTCTATTATAGAACAGAAAACTAAAGTAGTTGTCATCCCTTCTACCATCATGAATCCTTTTTAGCACTGCAAGATGCTGAGATTGGTTCCAGCAGATATGAAAAGCAACACACTAATCAAGTGCGACTTAGTCCAAAAAAGCAGATATTTCTGACTTGTGTATTGAAGGCTTGAATAACCTCTTTGGTTTTCATTTTCTCTCAGGTAGTAATACTTCTCCACTGAGTATCATGACTCTACAGCCATTATCGAGTCTAACCCATCTTGATGCATAAAGGCAATGGCCAGGGAGCAAAGCTGGGAACTACGTAACAGAAATTACATGGCTAGAAGCCCCCCCAAGAGAAGAGTATTCCACCTTTAAATCCAGGTGCTTGATAACTTGGGGGGATAACAAGGACCCGACTGTTAGGAGATATAGGCATGTCCTTGGATCTTGCCATCCAGTAGAGGATTGCCATCACAGTTGCCATCTTGGTACACGCAATCCGGGATGGTTAATATTCCTAAATACACAACCTCTTTTCCATGGAAGAATAGCAGTAACGAGAGGCATCTTCATGGATGATTTAATACCATATAGAAAGCAAATCCACCATACAAAATATAAAAAATATCGGCCCAGCAACACATGACAGGCACAAATGCATACCCACTACGGGCAATGGAGAGGGACAAAAGCTGTTTATGCGCACACATACACAGAGAGCGCGGAGGGGAGGGGGGGGATTGGAGGGGGGAAGCAGTAATGGGGGTAACACAAGGGGCAGCGCTCGACTCCTACAGACTTTTGGCCCTCCCCCTTTCCAGGGAACTGTCAAGGCATGGCATATCAGTCCTCTTTCTTTTCGTTCTCACTCTTTTGGTCTTTTGGCGTTTCCTTTGGCTGCTCCTCGTATCTGGAAGAAGGAGGGTGGCAATGATCATTCTGCCCCTAGACGACCCATAGCCCCGGCAACCCCAGACAACACCCATCACCAAGAGCCATGGGGTTTTTGAAACCTCAAGACTCAACTATGGTATCCATGTGAAAAGGCATCATATAAAACATTTACAAAACATTAACAATTATGTTCAGCCAAAGGTGTGGTAACAACTTATTTATTTTCCTCCATTACCCCTGGTGAGTCTGACAGCAATTTGTATCTGATATCTTAGGGCTGAAATACAGCAGGTGCAAAATAATCCATAAAACAAAATAAGTGCAAAATAATCCATGATTAACCATAATCAGCCATAATTAACTCCCTTGAACCCTTCTTCCCACAGTCTATGACATTTTTAGCCATTTCATATGTACACGTTATCCATTCAGGTTTGCATTAAAAGGGATTGCTACATGATACAAAAAAACAATAGTCATGTAGGGGCTGG